TAGTAGTAGTAGTAGTAGTAGTAGTAGTAGTAGTAGTAGTAGTAGTAGTAGTAGTAGTAGTAGTAGTAGTAGTAGTAGTAGTAGTAGTAGTAGTAGTACTATATGTAGTACTAGCATTAGGAGTGGTAATGGCCATCCATGCATACCAGCAGTTATTTCACCCTTCTCTCTCCGACCCTGAGCTTTGCTTCGGTGAATTTCTTGTAATGGCTCTGGTACGTATGCTTTGGGCACGGAAAATCCCAGCCCGTCAACTAAGATACAAGAATCATGGAACTGCTTGTAGATGTTCATCTTGAATATGACAAAGTCCCTGCCATAGTGAGTTTCTTGCTTGCCACTTGAATTGTATAGAAAATAAATCACCTTCAGATGTGAAATTCGAGGGCTGTTTGTCAAGTTCTTCTGTCTTGAAATTTGTGGTCACTCATTTGTAGTATTGCAAAACCTAGTCATTCACAGGTTTCAGAACTAAGGAGTATCAGTGCCCGCGGCCCTACGTAGCTTTTTTTTCTTCGTTTCTTCTGGTGTTGCTGAATTCTGGGTCCCTCTTCATCCCCTCTCTTCCCCTCAATCAATCCTTTACCTCTTCGGCCTGCCACCTTCTCCTGATCTCCCAACTGGAAGTTAATCCCAGCGTCATCAGCATGCGCCGTAAGTGCAAGACCCTTCAGGGCCGTCGTGGCATGCATTTCCATGTTAATCACTGTCTAACCGTCCATCAACGTTACGTAATGAATTAAGAGAGAATGTGCTACTGGCGCTATCCCCAAGACCTGCCAACCTATTGATGTTGGCTGTATAGCGACATGTCCTGCTGCGTTGCCAAGTCCTGCTCGCCTCAGGACGAGAAAGGTACATTGCAATTTTCTTTCGTCTAATACGTTGTATTCACACATTCTCGGAATATTCCACCGGGTGATAAATCACGCGCTGACGAACCTTGATGTTCTCCCAGCCGCTCTCGGTTTTGCAGTACAGCTTTGCAGTGGTGCTGGTGTGACTGATCTGCCTAGCAGTGCGAGCTGTGCCAACTCAGCCACTTCGACTAATGCCACCAGCGCCTCTACCACCACTTCTCCCGTCAACTCCTCCGGTAACAGCACTGCTTCCGCCACTACCACCCTCACAGGCACGAAGACTCGGTCTGCATCGGGAAACACCCAGCCCGCAACTCCCAACAAGACAAACACTGGAAGCAGCCCCACTGCCACGGGTGGCGGTGTCCCGCTCTTGCCGGATGCTGATGCCAGTATCTTTGCGGTCGTCGGCATGGCGCTCGTTGCAGTAGGGATAATGTACTTACAGTGACGAAACAGTTCCGGATGAAGGCTTGGTGGGATAACTTTGTCATGCTCCCCCTGTCGCCACCTTCTTAAGGTGATATCTGTTTCAAGTCCTGGTCTCAGAATGGACTTTCAAGGCTCTGAGAACTGAATCCGTTTGGCGTAGCACGAAGGAGGCCATCAATAACTGTGATATGTGGGCCGCGAACTCGAGCTTTTTTTTTTGTCTAACAAGAAGCACTTGCATTCCTAGCAATGCCTTGTAGGTGCAATAGATAGAAAGGCTATTGATCACGCTCTACAAACCGCGAAGCCACTGCTTGTTTCTCCTCCCGGATAGTAACGAATATCTAGCATGACTTATCAGTCTCATACAGTACAAGTCTCGTACAAAGCAGAAGAGAGGTGCTCTCGAAGCCAGCACTTAGTTCTGCGGCAGGCGAAGAAAATATAGAGAAGGAGAGGAAAAAACCCACCCAGAGCCAGAACATCATCTCCATAAACCCGAATGTGAAAATTGCCGGGTTCTTGAGCTGTGCCAATGCAGACGCATCCCCTGGGCTCTCCATGATATTTCTCGCAGATGGCTGACTTTGGTAGATGAAAAACGAGACGGCGAAGAAGACACAGAAGCGTGTGGCGGAAAGGAACGTCCAGACTTCTGAGTAGAGCGAGCCGAGCCGAGCCATGAAGGGATTCGCGCGCATGGCCCCTGCCACGGAGCCCGGAGCGTGAGACCGTGCGGCCTCAGCCATTGCGAGGACTTCATTAGTCTGCGGAATTTTGGACACAAGGATGTAGTCGACCAGGGCGTCGACGATTAGAAGGATTCCGCACAAGGCAAAGGGAGGTTGAGGACGGGAGAACGATGGAGATGCATCCTAGCCAGCAGAAGTAAAGAGAATTCGTTAGCAATTACATGTTCTTCAGAATGTGGGGGACTTATAAAGGAAACGATGTAACTACCAGTTGCAGGAGCTCCCCCAGCATGAAGACGACGTCGGAGTCGGTGATGACTGCTGGTGACCTCATTAAATGGATGGCTAGAACGACTAGCCAAAAGGCATGAGCCTGTATGAGGATTTTGGAGGATATGAAACCCATGGCAGGCTATATTTATCGGGAGCGCATTCAAGTGAGTGTGATAGACGCCGTCAGTGGTGTGAAGGACGGAGTCGGGGATTAGTTACCTCCTGACATTGTATTGTACATACGTACAGTATTTGTATGTTTTTGTCGAGAGGAGAGCACGGGGAATTCGTCCGCCGGATGTGGTGGGGCTGTCCTGGATCGAAGTTCCGCTCGCCGACGGATCAGTTGAGGGCGAAGGCAGTCTGTCTGTTATGGAGTCAGCCGTGCGGAAGCGAAATCATCAAGTCGAGGGGGAAAGACCTTTGATTTGTCTTTGAATACTGTCTGTTGTTTTACCTCGATTCTTACTTTCTAGCTGCTCCAAGTTCTGAATTTTCCATCTCCGAAGCTCCTTCGACAGAACTCCCCGCACCCGAACCCAGCAAGGTTCGCGGACCGAGCAAGACTGCCAACATGACTGAGATCACTTTCAACAGGGAACGTCACATCAAGTACTTCCTCCGATGCCTCAAAACGTTTCTTCCAGAACCTTATACATCCAATGACTCCAATCGCATGCTCCTCGCCTTCTTCACTGTTGCCGGCCTCGACCTTCTAGGCGTCCTCCAAGACAAGACCACCTCCGAAGAGCGACAAGGGTATATTGACTGGATCTATCATTGCCAGGTGCCTACCGGGGGCTTTCGAGGTTTTACGGGAACTGACTTTGGGGTGGAATCTCGATCGCCGGCGAATGAAGCTTGGGATCCAGCCAATGTGCCGTCCACGTTCTTTGCGCTTGTCATCTTGGTTATCCTGGACGATGATTTATCACGAGTGAAGCGCACAGAATGTTTGCAATGGCTCCCTTGTCTGCAGCGCGAGAACGGGAGTTTCGGTGAAGTGTTAGGGCCTGGAGGCAAGATCGAGGGAGGTGGGGACTTGCGTTTCTGCTGCTGCGCGGCCGGGACGAGGTATATCCTCAGGGGACTTGGTGGAGCAGACATACAGGGGCTGAGAGATATCGATGTATCCAAAATGGCAGCCTTCGTTCAGGCTTGTCAGGTTAGGTCTCCGACTTACATTTGTGATCCTCTACCTGCAGAGCCCACACATACCTTGCCACTATCTAATGCGCTTGCTAATTACATGGTGCTTTCAGGCTTATGACGGCGGCATGGGAGAAGCACCATTTTGCGAAGCACACTGTACGTTTGATTCTTCCAATATGCCCTTGATACCGATCACCCGACTGACCGGGTTGCAGCCGGCCATACGTATTGCGCGATGGGCGCTTTGTCCTTTCTAAGTCGAACGGAGAGGAATCACCCTCTGCCAGCAGTTCTCTCACCTGATGCGGTGGAGTTCGAGTCCTTGGTTCGCTGGTTGGTCTCCCGACAGACGGCTGAGCTTGGTGAAATAGAGGAAGAGTCTGATGAGGACGACACCAAGAGTGAAACTAGTGAGGGTCAGAAACCATTACCCACAGCGGCAATCCAGGTTGTCGACCTTGAAACAGAGGTGGATGAAGTCCCTGCCCTTTTCCCGTCAACAGAGGAGTCATTGCGATGGGCTGGCTTCAATGGCCGATGCAACAAGAACGCCGACACATGTTATTCCTTCTGGAATCTGGCGACTCTGGCTGTGAGAAACCCTGTTCCTTATTACTCGGTGGGCGTTATGTGATCTGATTATTGCGCACAGATGATGGACCGGCTAGCGCTGGTCGACGCGGATCGGAACCGCCAATATCTCCTGGACAAGACGCAGCACATCATCGGGGGATTTGGGAAAGGCGTTGGGGAACCACCTGGTGAGTTTGATCTGTACAAAGTTCCTTATTTGCCTTTTTTCACTCACTCGTTACCGCCCTGCAGATCTTCTACACTCCTACTTTGGCCTGGTGGCCCTTGCGTTTCAAGGCGAAGAAGGGCTGGACGAAGTTGATCCAGCGCTGTGTATCAGCCAACGGGCAGTGGACCACCTGCACTCCCTTCCCTGGTGGCAAGAGAATATTTAAACCAGTAGATACTAGACTAGCGGGCAAGATATCGGGATGCTGAGAGGCAGTGTCCCTGATCTTCAGCCACTTTCACTTCACACGATGGGTATATAAGTTAGACACCGTGCCCTAGCTCCAGCACGTCCATTAAATCCTCCAAATTTCGATGTTCGCTGGGGGGTTTGACGATCGAGTGTATCACTCGGAAGATGCAACTGTCATACAATCAGTGCCGCGAAAGATAGTGGTGTGACAGATTAAGTGGGAGTCATTTTATGGATTTGGCAGTTTCAACTTGATTCTGGTCAGGGCAAGGGAGCGAAGGGAGTGGGGGATGAGGGTGGGGGTGTGGGGGTTGTTGAAGTTGTCCAGTCTTGGAGAGTTGTAGATGTTAACCATAGGTAGTGAGTTCCAGCCCAGGAGAGGTAGATTAAACTTGCAAGGAACGACTGCCGGGTTAGCCGTTGCGGATGATGAGATGATGAGCTAAAAACGGCATGGCTTCAGGGGTTGGAATGAGGAGGTCTGACTCGCTGGCCAACCTAGACTATATACTAAATTATTCGAGTCGAATCCTCTCTAACTACTCCGTACAGTAACTTACCCGGAAAGTGCTTACGTAGAGGTACTGTACGGTACATGTACTGTACCCACCCCAGGTGCTACCCAGGTCAGACACGGGGCGGAAACAGTCTTTTGGGAGCAGGAAGGAAGGAAGGAGCTGAGCCGAGTTAAAGGGAAGTGAAGAGGTTTGTGTACTTTATATACATATTTGCTTGCACGTTGAGGTCATTGTATGATGATGATGATGATGATGATGATGATGATGATGATGATGATGATGATGATGATGATAAACGAGTCCACGTTCGCACCCGGCTAAATTGTGGCGGACGGCTAAGAATGAACAAGTATTACTAAATAAATGAACACCCAGTAATTTGGTGATGAGTACTGTACTCTAGGATAAGAACAGAATTTTGGGTACGCAGTAGTAGGCATATGAATCAAGATTGTTAATCTTTTGTAACATATGAAGTTACTCGTTTCAAATCAGCAAAAGAGATTGCCTATTGTGCAGGAACATAGTTGTTGAGTCAAGTTATGTAGTTATTGAGTGAACTACTACGGAGTACTATGTAAGTGAGTTGACTACTTTAATTAGGTAGTGAGCTAGCTTATTGACCTTCCCTTAATCATCGGTTATGCACATAGTTATTCCCCCCCCCCTGCTTGCCTGCTGTCGTCAGTGCCTCGCTCCTTCTTCGTGTCTGTCTCCCTCTCTCCCCTCATCATCATTGCAAGCCCAGCCAAAAAAAAAAGGCCGCCCGCCTCAACCCACTATTATTTTTGATTCTTTCCTTCACCTCCATTAACTTGAGTGTACTATTGTCCCTCCTTTCCCCTCCATCTCCTCAATGGTGGACTGAATTTCACTATTCATCTGAAACTCGGTGCATACAAACTACTTTTACATAGTACTCTTGCTCACTTTCCCCTTTCGACCTTGCAGTCCCCCTCACCCCTTCTTCCCCAAGTCCCACGCCAACTACTTGTACTACTGGCAAATAACTACCTAATTTCTCTGGTATGTGTTTGCCTGGCATAATAGGCCCTCTCTCCTCAAAGTCATTCCCCCAGCGACCCCATCCTTTCTGCTGTTCGTTAATAATTCTCTCTCTGGTTGTTGTTGCACTGGTCAAATCCTCATATATCGTCGGGTTAGGCACACCTTGACTGACTTCTTGTCTCTTCTTTCTAGCCACATTCCGTCATCCTTTTTAGTCTCCGGGCCCGATCACCTTTCGGCTTCTGCGGATATTAATCCAATTTACTTTCTTTTCTTTTTCTCCCGGCGCCTCGAGTTTTACCATATCAACTACGATTGAGCCAAGATCCAACTCTCGTCGTCGTATTCTCTGCTATAACCTCGAATAATCTCTATCCCTCATCAAACATACCGACTGCGCCGTCTTTCCTACTTCGACCAGCTCTCCCTCATACTTCTTCCCTCGCCTGCCGCTCAAACTCCGGTCCTCACTGTCGAACGTTGGTTCAACATTGCAATCTCAATACATAGCCTGCTGGATGGGTTTCCCGGTGGTTTAGTCTCTCAGGTAGCCGATCGATATAATTCTCGAAATCTCTCAGCTCACCGGACATTTCCCGGCCAGGCGGAGATAAACGATTGAAACACATGCCACCTCCTAGGACAAGAGCGGAGGTCCAAGCCCAGAAACAAAAGGAAAAGGTATGTCGAGTCGCTACTTGCCGTGCCTGCCCAACAACTCATTTTTGATGACAACGCCTCTGCGTGTGGAGAGCTGCTATCACTATATGCTTCTCGTTGGGAGGCAATCTGCCATCCCCCCCCCTTTTTTTTTTCTCAGAATTGATCGGTGCCTGGTACTAATGGAATCTCCATGCGACATGATAGCTTGCCCAGTCATACAATGAATTATTGGAGTGAGTCTCTACCTTGCCAGAACCCCGGCAACCTTGCTGACCAGACTTGATGATCGTAGGGAATTCTCCTCAAAAGACCTCCGCACTGTAGGCAATTACACACTTGGGCGGTTAATAGGAAAAGGCTCCTTCGGCAAGGTCTACCTTGCCTCTCATAAGTTGACCAATGGCTCTAAGGTAGGTCTCCTCGACTATGCAGGCAATTTGAAGCATGTGTTAAGGCATGCTATATTCAGGTCGTACTCAAGTCTTCGAGTAAGGAGGACAGGAACCTGGCGCGTGAGATTCATCACCATCGTCAGTTCCTCCACCCCCATATCGCTCGCCTCTACGAAGTCATTGTGACGGAGAATCTGGTCTGGCTAGTGCTGGAATATTGTCCAGGTAGGTTAACCTGGATTCTTTGCAACTTATAATTTTTTGACACTGGTAGGTGATGAGCTGTACAATCATCTCCTTCAACATGGCCCACTCCCCGTTGAGAAAGTTAAAAAGATATTCACGCAATTAGTTGGGGCTGTGGCGTATGTTCACAGCAAGTCCTGTGTGCACCGTGATCTCAAAC